AACAGAGAAGGCTTGGTATGGGGGCTGTAAGGAGCATGCAGGCCTAGAGTTTAACTTGGGCTCTAGTCAGCTCGGGGATCTCAATAAGGTTTGCTGGCAAAGGCAAAAAAAAAGGGAGTGTGGTCCAGGAGGCAGGTGGGTGCTGTCACGGAGGAGGAGGGGGTTGAGGGAATCTGAGACAGTGCTCTAGAACCTGTGTTTCATATAGCATGAGATATAAATGAAATAAATACTAAATAAAGATACAAGGTACTTTGTAGAAAAAGGAATCATTCACTTGGGGGTTGGGTTGGGAGAGGGCTTTGCTGAGAAGATGTGGCTTAAAGAGTGAGAATGAGGGCTGGCTGGTTAGCTCGCTTGGTTAGAGCATGATGTTATAATACTAAGGTCAAGGGTTCAGATCCCTGTACCGGCCAGCCACCAAAAAACAAAACAAAAAAAAGAATGAGAATGATTTTCTCACAGAGACGATAGGACAGACAACACAGTCAAGAAAACAACCTGAAAGATAAAGACATGGCAGCATAAGCCTGTATAACACAGTGTACTCAGGAAATGGCTGGGAAACTGAGAAATGGGATCAGAATATAATAGGGGGCTCTGAAAAGTCAGTTTAGAGTCAGATCACAGAAAGCCTTGACAAGGAGTTGAAATGGATTCTGAAGGCCATAAGTCATTCCAGATTTCCAAGACGGGAACAACACGAATGAACTTGTTTTCAATTCTAGTAGTTGTTAGAATTACACTGGAAAGGAGGTTCAAGGCAGGATCCTATATGGGGCCTCCCTCCATAGTAGAAGTATTTGTGGTTGACATTATAGATCCAAATCATGGGACATGATACACAAGCTTACCAGAATGCAGATAAACCTAAAAAGTAATTTATTTGGCAATTAAGTTCTCATTACACTGGTTGGATCAAACTCGTGCCTACATCTCCACTTCCTACCCAAATGCCACCAAAATGACAGGTAAGGAATTTTTAAAGATAAAAATTCACAGGAGAATGGGAGAGATGACAAATGGTAGATGGGAGATGGCAATACAATTTTCAAAGGTAACTGTCAGAATGGAGAAAAATAAAATCTAAATGTGTATGGCAGGGGGAAAATAACAAAAAGCAAGCTGACTAACCACCTCCTTACAATTCTACCACAACAAGACTAGAGCTTCCATCAGCTTTTGGTGCCTCAATGTTAAGGACACATGGGCAAATAAATATAGGCACCAGATAGTTCAAGAATACCTCTAACATGACAGACGAGGCAGAGGCATAAACAAATACGGTGGGAAAAAGAAGAAAAAAAGAAAAGAGTTGATGCAGAGAACAGAAAAAAACTTTAAAAAATAATTGATAGGGCCGGCCTGGTGGCGCACTACTATAGTGCGCCGCTTGGGAAGCACAGTGGTGCTCCCACCGAGGGTTCGGATCCCGCATGCGGACCGGCCGCTCACTGGCTGAGCGAGGGGCGGGAGCAACACCGAGGGTTGCGATCCCGTGGCTGGTCCCGGTCCGGTACAGGCGCGACACTGAGGGTTGCGATCCGTTGCCGGACACGAAAAAAGACAAAAAGGAAAAAAAAAAAATAATTGATAAAGTTAGAGAGATAATGGATTCATTAAAAAAAGAAAAAGAAAAAGAATGGCTATTTTTCTGAAAAAAAAAGAAATGCCATTCAGAAAGTAAGAGCTAGCTCTTAGAAATTAAAAACATATAGCAGAAAAAAATAGAAAATTTAAACGGTCAAAAGAAAAGTAGATGATAAAGCTGAAGAAATCCTATTTAAAAAAAAAAGCAAAAACATTAAAAATGAAAAAATAAGAGGAAAAAATATAATTTCCGAAAAGCCAACATTCAACTAATAGAAGATCCTGAAAAAGAAAATAGAATAAAATGAAAAGAAAATTTCCCAGAAGTAAAGCACATAACTTGCCAGATTAAAAGATCTCATTAAGTAACTAGAATTATGAATACAAAAATACCCACACTACAGCATGAGATTTCAGAACACCTGAGATAAAGATCCTAAAGCTTCCTGGGAGAAAAATTATAAGTCACAAACAAAAGTTCTGGAATCAGAACATCACAGGACTTCAACAGCAACAATGAAATCTACAACAATAATGAGTTTAAAAGTGCTTACCTACAATTCTATAGGCTCTCAAACTATTAATGCAGTCAAAGATTAAAATAAACCTATTTCAGACATGTAACAGTCTTGAAAAATTATATCGCATTGATCCTCCTAGTGAAGCTACTAAGGGTATACTTCACCAAACAGGGAAGTAAATCACAAAAGCAGCAGCTGATGGGATCCAAGAGACAGGAGGGGGTGCATAAGAAATTACTAGAGTGAAAGTGAAGAGAAATCCCTGGGCAGGAGCTATGCTCTAGGTCTAGAGAACAACGACTGTGCTATTTTAGGCAGAGTTGTGTACCCCCGTGCCCCAAATTCATATGTTGAAATCCTAATACCCACTATCTCAGAATGTGACTGTATCTGGAGATAGAGTCTTTAAAGAGGCAAATAAAGTTAAAATAAGGTCATTGGGGTGGGCCCTAATCCAATATGACTGGCATCCTTATAAAAGGAAAATTTGGACACAAACACAGGAGGAAGACCATGTGAAGACACAGGGAGAAGATGTCCATTTACAAGACAAGAAGAGAGGCCTCAGAAGAAACCAACCCTGCTGATCTTGGACTTCTAGTCTCCAGAATTTTGAGAAAATAAACTTCCGTTATTTTACGACAGCCAGTCTGTGGTACTTATTTATTGCAGCCCTAGCAAACTAATACAGCACCCATCCTGGAACAGGTTAAGAGGGGTCCAGGAAAGACTTAAAACAAAAAAGAATCTGATGTATTTTCTCATATTAAGAGAAATTTTATAATGCTGTTAGAGATTTTGAGAATGACTTAGTGATAGATCCACAGGAAAAGAGGCAGGTCCATAGGAAAAGAGTCAAACAAACTAGGCAAAAATAAGTGTGGGTGGGGGGGTGGGGGAAGGGGTATAAGAAAGGAAACATAATCATGGTACACTATGGCTTGTGATGAATTTTTACCTAGTAAATAACATAAACATAGAATATTGATTTAACGAAAAGTAGGAAACAACTCTGGTAGGGTGTGGTATGGGTAGATATCGTGAAAGAGCTAAATCCTTATCTACTATAGCAGGCAGTCAACAGATACTATCGCAAATTGAAAAATGAAGAAGTGGCAATATAAGCATATTATTTAAATATGCAGGCAAATACAGAAGGTAATGCAAAAATACTTAAAGTAGTTGCCTTTGGGAAATGATAATCAGGGGTCGAGGTGGGGGACTGCTCTTTTTCATGGTAATTTCAGTAGACCTATTTCAATTTTAAACTACTCATATATGTTATTTAATAAAAAAAATTTTAGAAACCTAAATACCTTTTAAAGAACTAAAGACCTTTTAAAAAAGGGAACAGCTGGTCTCTTTAGCCAGAGGACTTTCAGTGGTGTGGTGTGAGCAGAAGCCAGAACCAGCGTGTTGAAGAATAAATGAGACACGAGATATCAAATGTGACTAGTTTTTTAACAAGCCACGTTGATAACTGAATTGGGGAGGACATAGAGGGGACAAAAGGGTCAAGAATAATTTTTTGAAGGTGGTAGTGTTTATATGGTGGCACTTCTGCTGGCAGTGTCCTCCTTAGAAGCTGCTTGCCAGAGGGCTCTTTAAAACTATTAGAGTAGCTGGATTCCCATACCTGCCCCTGCTTGTTCTGTTTTGTCTAACCAGTTGTCTTGCTCCGGTTTCTTCCCAGGTGAGCCTTCATGATACACCATGGGGAACAACCGCAGCCTTTTAGTAAGAAGAGCTTTTGCATCTCTGTTAAATACGGTGAGCAGAGAAAAGCTTTATGAGCCATCACTTAGATGAAGTATAGCAACTTGACTAAACCAATTAGATACAGACAAGGTGAATAGTTAGGTTAGAGTAATTCCTTAAGGTTAAGTTCCACATGTTATTCATATATGCAAGAGAGAACAGAGAAAATAACTATCACATATCAGACATCTGGTGATACAAATCTTCAAAATCAGAGGCTTTAAAAAATGAAGCCATGTTGCCCACGTATTCATCAAATATTTACTGAGGCCTCCTATGTGTCATGATGATGAGACACTTCCTCCAGCAAGCAAAGGTTTCTGGCTTCCTCTGCAACTAAAAATAATTAACACCCTGCCAAGTTATCTGTCTGTGTGTTCCAGAGGTACACCAACAGAAGAGACAACTCAGAAAAAGTCAAGGTAAACCACCACTTCACTTTGAGGCAACTGGAGAAAGATCCCAGGAGGTTATGTTCAACAGAAGCACACCACGAAGAGTCTTCCCAGGTGTCCCAGGCTTTAAATGGTCATATCCTACTCTGTCCATCAAGCAACCTTTTTTTCTTTTTTGGGGTGGCTGGTTGGTACAGGGATCTGAAAAGCAACATTTATAATCTATAAAAGTTTTCAAGTTTTCTGGATAGTTCTATCCAGCTGATGACAATTATCCTGTCAAGTACATTACCCGCTATAATTTTAAAAACCAGCATTCTGATCTATTAATCAGTCTCTCTTGCTCAATTGACAGTCAGTTCCTAAAAGTTTATCCACTCCTGCATTAGATGGCATATCTGGCAATTCAATGAAAGGAAGTTGGTCAAATCCCACAAGTGGCTGCAAAAGAAAGAAATATCTAATCATAAAAATACCCCAATTTCCCAGGGTTCAATCCCTGTGCCAGCCAGCCACCAAAACAAAAACATAATTAATTACAGATTTTACAGATAGGTTCTAGAGAAATTGTCTCCTATGTAGACTTTTATAGAAATTTTGAACAGTTAGGGGGAAAAAAAGATACCGTTAATGACAAGGTCGTAACAGAACATGACAAAACACTAAAAATTTCTGTACATACAAACACTCATATAGAACAAGCCTAGTGAGAAGAAAATACACAGAAAAGCAAGACTGAATTTTAAAAAATAATTTGCAAGGGAAGTCCTTAATACTTTATTAGTTCTAAAATATCATCTTCCTTTAGAAAAATTTAAGACTGGAGTGACAGATTTTTTTCCTGCACTGTTATAATTACTACAAATTTACCAGCAAAGATGTAAATATCGATATGATTTTTCCTTAAGCTTGAACACATAAGAGAGCAATAAAATAGATTTTTAAAAACCTCATTTGACCTGATCTCGTTAAGTCATTCCAGCTATCTTCAGTCCAGCTCTGGTCTCCAGGTAGATTTCCAGGATAGGTTTGTATCACTCAGCCCAGCCCCAATAGGTTGGATAGGACAGTCTGTAGTAACTGTCAGAATACCACCTTTTATTCTGGGCTGCTTGACGGGCATTTGGCTTCACATTCCAAGAATATCTCCTTTGAGAATAGTCCTCTCCAGGGGGACCAGGAGGATGGGTATAGCCTCTCTGGGAAACATCCCGATTCTGTGAAAATTTTCTTAAACAAACCAAACAAAAAGTAATAAGCCATTATCAGGATTAATAAAATACATAATAAGCTTTATAAAATAAAACACAGATATTCGGATTCTACTATTTCCTTCCTGGGTGCCTTAGCAGATGAATTACTTAACCTTTATATTTCTTAATTCTTTATAAAATGAAGCTAATAATACCTTCCATCTTCGCGGGCTGTTATGAAGGTAAATTAAGACAATACATTTAAATTACCTACAATGTCCTAGAACACAGGAGGCTCTCAGGACACTTCCCACCTTTCCCTATAGAGATATGCCCCTACTAGTCTAACCAGATATTTTCTCTCCAAAAGTCCAGCAGGGTTGACATAAGACAGAATAAGCTATTTAGTATTGAAAACAGAAAGCTGCTTTCACTTTATAAATAAATAAATTAGGATTTAAATTTAACTATTTTAAAAGCAAGATCACTAAACCTAATGTAATCATACAAGAGAAAATTTGGAGACCTAAGAATAAATAAGCCCCCCAAAACCCTTAATGCCACTCAATCTAATTCAATTGGTTAGTATTTCCTTTTGGTCTTTTTCCCCTGGCATCTTTCTTTGAGTCTTAAATCATAACCTATTATTTTTACTTATCATAAGTGAGCTATCACTTTTAGTGGCTTCATAAAATGTCATAGTATGAATATAATAATTACTAAGCTATATTCTCCATTGTTAGAAATATAGGCTCCTACCAGTTTTTCCACTACTATAAATAATGCTGACATTAACATCTCAGAACATATACTACTGTATCCTGAGCACCTAGCCCAGTGTCTGATACAATAGTGGGGGGTTACAGAAATGTGTTGAATGACTGAATTAATACAACTTTTTCCATATTTTTAAGTATTTCATTAGTCTCAACATAGAATTATAAGCTATGAGCATTTTTATAGCTATTAAAAGTGTTATACCAATTTCTAATGCCACTAGCAACATCTTTCTGAAACGTTTACCTCTTTTAACAATGCAAACAACTTTTTAAAAGTGTTTACAATGTGCTAAACTGCTTTAACGCATGTATTAATCAACAACCCCGATGGGGTATGTAGATTAAAATCTCCACCTAATTGAGGAGGAAATGGAAATTTAGAGAAGCTACGTATCTTACCCAAGATCATACAGTGGGTGAATGGCAGCGCCAGAATGCAAATCCAGGTCCAGCCTGACAACCGCTACACTGGACTGCTCATCAAAAACTGTTGCTAAATTAGCAGGGAAAGAATAAGACCTTGCTACTTGTGATGGTTAATTTTAAGTGTCAATTCAACTAGATTTTTGGGATATCTAGATGGCCGGTAAAGCATTATTTCTGGATGTGTCTATGAGGGTGTTTCCAGAGGAGATTAGCTTGTGAGTCAGTGGATTCACTGGGGAAGATTCCCCCCTCAATGAGGGTGGGCAACATCCAATCGGCTGGGGACTCAGAACAAGAAGGCAGAGGAAAGGCAAATTTGTTCTCTCTCTTCTGGAACTGGGATACCCTTCTTCTTCTATTTGGACTTCAGAAACCCAGGTTCTCCAGCCTTTGGACTCTGGAACTTGCACCACCAGCCCACTCAAGTTCTAAGGCCTTTGGCCTTAGACTGAGAGTTATACCATCAGCTTCCCCTTCCCTGGTTTTAAGGCTTTTGGACTTGGACTGAGCCATACTACTAGCATACCTGGGGCTCCAGCTTGCAGACAACATAATGCGGGACTTCTCAGGCTCCATGACCACATGAACCAATTTCCCTAATAAAGCTCCTCTCATGTATCTATCTACACTCTTTGCTTGCTTAACGACAGGGATGCATTCTGTGAAATGCATCGTTAGGGGATTTTGTTGTGCAAACATCATTAAGTGTACTTACACTGACCTAGATAGTATAGCCAACTACAAACCTAGGCTATATGGTATAGCCATCATAATCTTATGGGAGCACCATCATTTATGTGGTCCATGGTTGACCTAAACATTATGCAGCTCATGACTGTACCAGAGTACTTCAAAAAGTTCATGGAAAATTTGTATTATCTTTTAATTCCATTTCTCCATGAACATTCTGAAGTACCCTCCTGGTTCTGTCTCTCTGGAGAACCCTGACTATTTTAACGGTACTGAGGTTTTTCCCATTTCCCAAGTGAAAATACTTTTGTGATACATCCGTTCAAATCTTTTACAAATTTCTCTACTGGAGTTTTACTTTTTCTTATACTTTGTATTTACCCCATAAATAACCACCTTCCTTATTCTGAAAACTATACCACAATTAATGTAGCCTAAGAAGCAAGATTCTTTTTGGTAGCCACATCAAACTCCTGGCTTAAACTAAGTTTAAAATCAGTAAAAATTTCTAAGTCTCTTTTCCAACTGCCTCTGAAAAGTCATATACTCCCCATCCTGTATTTGATTTTCCAGTCCTAAACGCAAAATACATAGCAGGATGATATCTCCTGGTGGACACTGATCCACAAGAAAACATCATTACTTCTCATTATCATGCGTTGTTTTCATTAATGTATAGTATTAATTTCTATTTCAATTCTAGAAAAAGAGAAAGCAGAGATACCTGACCGACTGTTGCAAATTGGGGGTGTGGGTGTGGAAATGCTGAGAAGGCCCTGGGTAATCATGGATCCGATGTAGGTAATACCTCGGTCTGCGGTTAATAGACTTATTAGTGGTATGGACTGGTTCCATGAGATGTGCTGACTCTTCAAAATCACTTGAGCTGGAAACAATGGAATTCCGGTTCCTCAAAGAGAACATTTCCACAATATTATTGGTTTCCAAATTTAGTAGCCAATTTAGTGATTATATTTTGGCCTACAAATGGAACAATCCCTTCCTCCTCCATTCCTATTTGTTTTGGTTTCCCCCAGCAAGTAAACAAGCTACCAGAAAAATGAATATATGCAACATAAATGACAGGCACACCTCATTTTATTGCGCTTTACTGCACTTTGAAGATACTGCATATTTTACATATTGAAGGCTTGTGGCAACCCTGCATTAAGCAAGTCTATCAGTGCCCTTTTTCCAATAGCAAGTACTCACTTTGCGTCTCTGTATCATTTTGGTAATTCTCGCAATTTTTCAAACTTTTTCATTATTATTATATCTGTTAGGGTGACCTGTAATCAGTGATCTTTGATGTTACTATTGTAATTGTTTTGGGATGCCACAACCACGCCCATATAACACAGTGAACTTAATCAATAAATGTTGTGTGTGTTCTGACTGCTTCACTAACTGGCCATTCCACCGCCTCTCTCCCTCTCCTCAGGCCTCCCTATCCCCCCCGAGACACGACAACATTGAAATTAGACCTATTTATAATCCTACAAAGGCCTCTAAGTGGTCAAGTGAAAGGAAGAGTCGCATGTCTCTCACTTTAAGCCAAAAGCTAGAAAAGATTAAGCTTAGTGAAGAAGGCATTTCAAAAGAGGTGATAAAGCGAAAGCTAGGCCTCTTCCACCAAACAGTTAGCCAAGTTGTGAATACAAAGGAAAAGATCTTGAAGGAAATTAAAAGTGCTACTCCAGTTAACACATTAATGATAAGAAAGCAAAACAGCCTTATTGCTGATATCGAGAAAGTTTTAGTGATCTGGATAGATCAAACCAGTCACATTCCCTTATTAAGTCAAAGCCTAATCCAGAGCAAGACCCTAACTCTCTTCAATTCTGTGAAGGCTAAGGAAGGTGAAGAAGCTACAGAAGAAAAGTTGGAAGCTAGCAGAGGCTGGTTCATGAGGTTTAAGGAAAGAAGCCATCTCCATAACATAAAAGTGCAAGATGAAGCAGCAGGTGCTCATGTAGAAGCCGCAGCAAGAGATCCAGAAGATCTTGCTAAGATCAGTGATGAAGACGGCTACACCGAATTTTCAATGTAGACAAAACAGCCTTATATATATTGGAGGAAGATGCCATCTACGACTTTCATAGCTAGAGAGAAGTCAATGCTTGGCTTCAAAGCTTCAAAGGACAGGCTGACTCTCTTGTTAGGGGCTAATGTCGCTGGGGACTTTAAACTGAAGCCAATACTCATTTACCATTCCAAAAACCCTACAGCCCTTAAGAATTATGCTAAATCTTCTCTGCCCGTGCTCTGTAAATGGAACAATAAAGCCAAGATGACAACACATCAGTTTACACCACGGTTTACTGAATATTTTAAGCCCATTGTTGAGACCTATTGCTCAGAAAAAAAGATGCCTTTAAAAATATACTCCTCACTGACAATGCACCTAGTCGCCCAAGAGCTCTGGTGGAGATGTAGAAGGAAATTAATCTTGTTTTCATGCCTGCTAACACAACATCTATTCTGCAAGCCAAGGATCAAGGACTAATTTTGACTTTCAAATCTTATTAAGACATGTATTTCATAAGGCTATAGCTGCCACAGATTGTTATTCCTCTGATGGAGCTGAACAAAGTAAATTGAAAACCTTCTGGAAAGAATTCACATTTCTTGATGCCATTAAGAACATTTGTGATTCATGGAGGAGATCAAAATATCAACGTTAGGCCGGCCCGGTGGCGCACTGCTACAGTGCGCCGCTTGGGAGCGCGGCGGCGCTCCCGCCGAGGGTTCGGATCCCACATACAGACCAGTTCCCGCTCACTGGCTGAGTGAGGTGTGGGTGCAACACCGAGGGTTGCGATCCCGTTGCTGGTCCTGGTCCGGTACGGGCGCAACACTGAGGGTTGTGATCCATTGCCGGACACGAAAAAAGACAAAAAAAAAAAATCAACGTTAACAGGAGTGGAAGAAGGTGATTCCTACCCTCGTGGATGACTTTGAGGGGCTCAATATTTCAATGGAGAAAGTGACTGCAGATGTGGTGGAAACAGCAAGAGAACTAGAATCAGAACTGGAGCCTGAAGATGTGACTGATTTGCTGCAATCTCATGATAAAACTTTAATAGATGAAGAGTTGCTTCTTACGGATGAGAGGGGTCTACTCCTGGTGAAGATGCTATGAACATTGTTGAAATGACAACAAAGGATTTAAAATAATACATAAACTTGGTTTACAAAGCAGTGGCAAGTTCTGAGAGGACTGACTCCAACTTTGAAAGAAGTCCTACTGTGGGTAAAATACTATCAAACAGCATCGCACGCTACAGAGAAACCTTATGTGAAAGGAAGAGTCTACTGAGGAGGCAAACTTCATTGCTGTCATATTTTTAAAAATTGCCACAGCCACCCCAGCCTCAGCAACCACCACCCTGTTCATTCAGTAGCCATCAAAATCCAGGCAAGATCCTTCACCAGCAAAAAGATCACAACTCACCAAAGGCTAAAACGATCATTAGCACTTTTTTTTAGTAATATTTTTATTTTAAATTTTATTTATATTTAAAATTATTTTATCAATATACAATATAATTTATTTTCGTGTCCCTTTACCAATTCCTTTTCCTCCCTCCTGCTCCCCCTCCCCCCATCAACATCATATCTATTCACTTGTCTTAACAAAATCAAGGAATTGTTGTGATTGTTGTGTCTTCTTTCCCCTGTCCTGTTCATTCATATATTTACTTATTTTTATTAGCTCCCACAAATAAGTGAGAACATGTGCTATTTCTCTTTCTGTGCCTGGCTTATTTTACTTAATATAATGTTCTCTAAGTCCATCCGTGTTGCTGTGAATGACTGTACTTCATTTTCTTTTATATAGCAGAGTAGTATTCCTATTCTGTTGCACAGATATACCATATTTTCCTTATCCACTCATCTGATGATGGACATTTGGGCTGGTTCCAACTCTTGGCTATTGTAAATAGAGCTGCACTAAACATGGGAGTACAGGTGTCCCTTTGACATGATGATTTCCATTCCTCCAGGTATATAACCAGCAGTGGAATAGCTGGCTCATATGGTAGATCTATCTGTAGTTGTTTGAGGAACCTCCATACCATTTTCCATAAAGGCTGCACCATTTTGCAGTCCCACCAACTGTGCAGGAGGGTTCCTTTTTCTCCACATCCTCGCCAGCATTTGTCATTCTGCCTTTTGGCTATTAGCCGTCCTAACCCGAGTGAGGTGGTATCTAAAAGTGGATTTGATTTGCCTTTCTCAAATGCTGAGTGATGTTGAGCATTTTTTCATGTGTCTGTTGGCCATTCGTGTATCTTTGAGAAATGCCTGTTCAGCTCCTTTACCCATTTTTTAATAGGGTTCCTTGGTTTTTTGCTGTTAAGTTGTTTGAGTTCCTTGTATATTCTGGATATTAATCCTTTGTCTGATGTACATTTTACAAATATTTTCTCCCATTCTGTTGGTTGTCTTTTTGCTCTGCTAATTATTTCTTTTTGATGTAAATTTTACAAATATTTTCTCCCATTCTGTTGGTTGTCTTTTTGCTCTGCTAATTATTTCTTTTGTTGTGCAGAAGCTTTTTAGTTTCATATAATCCCATTTGTTTATTTTTCCTTTGGTTGCCTGTGCTTTTGGGGTCATATTCATAAAGTCTGTAGCCAGTCCTACTTCCTGGAGTGTTTCCCCTATGTTCTCTTTAAGGAGTTTTATTGTTTCAGGATATATATTTAATTCTTTAATCCATTTTGAGTTGATTTTGGTATATGCTGAGAGGTACGGGTCTAGTGTCATTCTCCTACATATGAATATCCAGTTTTCCCAGCACCATTTACAGAAGAGGCAGTCTCTTTCCCAGTGTGTAGTACTGGAGCCTTTGTCAAAGATCAGATGGTTGTAGGTGCATGGGTTGATTTCTGGACTCTCTATTCTGTTCCATTTGTCCATGTGTCTGTTTTTATGCCAGTACCATGCAGTTTTGGTTACTATACCTTTGTAGTATAGTTTAAAGTCAGTTAGTGTTACGCCTCTGGCTTTATTTTTTTGCTCAGGATTGCTCTGGCTATTCGTGGTCTTTTTTACTTCCATATGAATGTTAGGATTGTTTTTTACAATTCTAAGAAAAATGTCATTGGGATTTTGATGGGGATTGCACTGAATCTGTAGATCACTTTGGGTAGTATGGACATTTTTGCAATGTTAATTCTTCCAATCCAAGAGCATGGGATATCTTTCCATCTTCTTGTGTCCTCTTCAATTTCTCTTAACAGTGTTTTATAGTTCTCAATGTAGAGTTTTTCCCATCCTTGGTTAAATTTATTCCTAGGTATTTTATTTTTTTGGTGGCTTTTGTAAATGGCCTAGATTTCTTGACTTCTTTTTCTGACAGTTCATTGTTAGAATATAGAAATGCTATTGATTTTGTGTGTTGATTTTGTATCCTGCAACTTTGCTGAAATCATTTATTAACTCTAAAAGAGGTTTTTTGTTGAGTCTTTAGGCTGTTCTATATATAGGATCATGTCATCTGCAAACAGGGACAGTTTGACCTCATCTTTTCTAATCTGGATGCCCCTTATTTCCTTCTCTTCCCTGATTGTTCTGGCTAGTACTTCCAATACTGTATTGAATAGGAGTGGTGAGAGTGGGCATCCTTGTCTTGTTCCTGTTCTTAAGGGAAAAGCTTTCATTTTTTCTCCATTCAGGATGATATTGGCAGTGGGTTTGTCATATATGGTTTTAATTGTGTTGAGATACTTTCCTTTTATGCCTGATTTATAGAGAGTCTTTATCATGAATGAATGTTGAATTCTGTCAAATGCTTTTTCAGCATCTATAGAGATGATCATATGGTTTTTGTAATTGATTTTATTGATGTGGTATATCACATTTATTGATTTGTGTATGTGAACCAACCTTGCATCCCTGAGATGAATCCCGTTGATCATGTTGTATAATTTTACGTATGTGTTGATGTATTCTATTAGCCAGTATTTAATTGAGGATTTTTGCATCCATATTCATCAACGATACTGGCTTGTAGTTTTCTTTTTTTGTTGTATCTTTGTCTGCTTTTGGTATCAGGGTGATGTTTGCCTCATAGAATGAGTTTGGGAGAGTGGCCTCTGTGTCAAGTTTTTGGAATAGTTCGTAGAGAATTGGTATTAATTTTTCTTTAAAGGTTTGGTAGAATTTTGCAGTGAAGCCATCTGGTCCTGTACTTTTCTTTGTTGGGAGACTGCTGATAACAACTTCAATCTCTTTGATTGTTATTGGTATGTTCAGATTTTCTGTCTTCTTGGCTCACTTTTGGTAGTTTGCGTGTGTCCAAAAATTTATCCATCTTCTCCAGATTTTCAAATTTCTTGGCATATAGTTGTTTATAGTAGTCTCTAATGATTCCTTGTATTTCTGATGTATTGGTTGTAATATCACCATTTTCATTTCTAATTTTTGTTATTTGTGTCTTCTCTCCTCTTTTTTTAGTTAGCCTTGCTAATGGTTTGTCAATTTTATTATCTTTTCAAAAAAACTTTTTGTGGGCTGGCCCCATGGCTCACTCGGGAGAGTACGATGCGGATAGCACCAATGCCGCGGGTTTGGATCCTACGTAGGGATGGCTGGTGCGCTCACTGGCTGAGCATAGTGCAAACACCACCAAGCCAAGGGTTGTGATCCCCTTACTGGTCAAAACAAACAAACAAACAACTTTTTGTTTCATTGATCTGCTGTATCGTTTTTGGGTTCCTAATTCATTCAGTTCTACTCTGATCTTCTGTCTACTAAGTTTGGGTTTGGATTGTTCTTGTTTTTCTAATTCTTTAAGGTGAAGTGTTAGGTTGTTTACCCGCCATCTTTCCATTCTTCTGAAGCAAGCATTTAGTGCAATAAATTTTCCCTTTAGTACTACTTTTGCAGTATCCCACACGTTTTGGTATGATGTGTCATTATTTTTATTAGTTTCAACAAATTTTTTGATTTCCTGTGTAATTTCTTCTTGGACCCAGATGTCATTAAGTAGAATGTTGTTTAATTTTGATGTATTTGTATAGTTTCCAGAGTTTCATCTGTTACTGATTTCTAGTTTCAATCTGTTGTGGTCTGAAAAAATATACAGAATAATTCCAATTTTTTTGAATTTGTTGAGACTTGATTTGTGACCTAACACATGATCTATCCTGGAGAATGTTCCCTGTGCTAAAGAGAAGAATGAATATTCTGATGTTGTTGGATGAAATGTTCTGAATATCTCTGCCAAGTCCAATGGTCTAAAGTGTTATTTAAGTCTTGTGTTTCTCTGATTTTTTTTGCCTAGATGATCTGTCCAATGTGCAGAGTGGGCTGTTCAGATCCCCAACTATTATGGTATTAGTGTCTATCTCTTTCTTTCGGTCTAACAGTGCTTGCTTTATGAATCTGGCTGCTCGATGTTGGGTGCATAATATTTATGACTGTTATGTCTTCTTGTTGGATAGATCCTTTTATCATTATATAGTGGCCTTCTTTATCTCTTTTTATGGTTTTTAGTTTACAGTCTATTTTATCTGATATAAGAATACCTACTCTGGCTCTTTCTTCATTTCTATTTGCATGGTGTATCTTTTCCCATCCTTTCATTCTTAGTCTCTGTGTGTATTTACAGGTGAGGTGGATCTCTTGAAGGCAGCATATTGTTGGGTCCATCTTTTTAATCCAGTCAGTCAGTCTATGTTTTTTGAGTGAGGAATTCAAACCTATTACATTAAGAGTTATTATTGAAAGGTACTGATTTTCTCCTGGCATTATAGTGATTTTTGCTTGGATGTTTTAAATATCTTTTCTTTCTGATTTACCCATTGTCTTCTGTGTTTGTTGGTTTCCTGGAACAGTGGATAAACTTTTTTTTCTCTCCTTATTGTTAACATTTTATTTTACTGGTGCGTTTGTTCTATCTTGAGTATTCATGGTAGTCATGGTTGTTTTTCAGGTGCCAGACACAGCACTCCCTTCAGAATTTCTTGTAAGGTTGATCATGTGGTAGTGAACTCCCACAGTTTTTGTTTGTCTGGGAAACATACTATTTGTCCTTCATTTTGGAAGGATAGCCTTGCTAGGTTAAGTATTCTTGGCTGGCAATTTTTGTCTTTTAGTATTTTGAATATACCATCCCATTCTCTTCTGGCTTTTAGGGTTTCTGATGAAAACTCTGATGTTAATCTGAGAAATGTTCCCTCATAGGTGACTTGATGCTTCTCTCCTGCAGCTTTTAAAATTCTCTCTTTGTCTTTGAGTTTTGCCAGTTTGATTATAACATGTCTCGGAGAGTACCTTTTCGGGTTGAATATGTTGGGAGATCCTTGAGCTTCCTATATTTGAACATCTGTATCTCTCATTATCCTGGGAAGTTTTCTGCTATTATTTCATTGAATATGTTTTCAATGCCATTTCCTTTCTCCTCCCCCTCTGGAATATAGATGGTTTGGGCATTGGAGCACTTGAGGTTGTCTGTTATCTCTCTTAGATTTTCTTCAAGTTTTCAAATTCTTTTTTCTTTCTTTCTTTTTTTGTCCACCTGTGTTATTTCAAACAGGCAATCTTCAAGGTCAGATATTCTCTCTTCTGCTTGATCTAGCCTGCTGGTTAAGCTCTCTGTTGTGTTTTTTATTTCGTTGAATGAATCCTTCAGCTCCACAAGCTCTGCTACATTCTTTTTCAGGTCATTGATTTCTTTGTACATTTCCTCTTCCAGGTCCTGTATACTTTTTTTCATTTCTTTGTGCTGTCTAACTGAGTCTTCTTGTATCTCGTTTAGTTTCCTTAGGATTGTTGCTCGAAATTCCTTGTCAGTCATTTCAAGGACTTCTTTTCTATAGTGTCTAGAACTTGAGAGTTAATGTATTCCTTTGGTGGTGTAGTACTTTCTTGGTTTTTCATATTTCTAGTATCTCTCCATTGGCTTTTAGTCATTGTGGCTAAGGCTATCACAGTCAACTTGTTTCACCTTGGTGTCTGGAGCAATACCAGGGAGTTTTGTTGATGCTCAGCTGCCTGTTGTTGACTCAGGTCCCGGGGGTCGGTGGTGGCTGGGGCCTCTCTCAGGGGCAGTGACTCACCTAGCGGTGGCCTGAGATCTCATGCAGAGGGTGCCAAGACTCCACGGCTCTGCTGCCTCAGGTCCCAGGGGTTGGCAGCAGCTGGGGCCTCTCTCAATAATAAAGTATTTTTTCTTTCTTTTTTTTTTTTTTGTCTTTTTTCGTGTCCGGCAACGGAATCGCACCCCTCGGTGTTGCACCCGCCCCTCGCTCAGCCAGTGAGCGGGAACCGGGCTGTATGGGGGATCCGAACCCTTGGTGGGAGCGCCACCGCGCGCCCAAGCGGCGCACTGTAGCAGTGCGCCACCGGGCCGGCCCAATAATAAAGTATTTTTTCTTTCTTTTTTTTTTTTTTGTTTTTTTTCGTGTCCGGCAACGGAATCGCACCCCTCGGTGTTGCACCCGCCCCTCGCTCAGCCAGTGAGCGGGAACCGGGCTGTATGGGGGATCCGAACCCTTGGTGGGAGCGCCACCGCGCGCCCAAGCGGCGCACTGTAGCAGTGCGCCACCGGGCCGGCCCAATAATAAAGTATTTTTTCTTTCTTTTTTTTTTTTTTGTTTTTTTTCGTGTCCGGCAACGGAATCGCACCCCTCGGTGTTGCACCCGCCCCTCGCTCAGCCAGTGAGCGGGAACCGGGCTGTATGGGGGATCCGAACCCTCGTGGGGAGCGCCACCGCGCTCCCAAGCGGCGCACTGTAGCAGTGCGCCACCGGGCCGGCCCAATAATAAAGTATTTTTAAATTAAGGTATGTATGTGATTTTTTTAGACATAATGCTATTGCATACTTTAAGACCACTATTAAGACAACAGTCTAGTGTGAACATAACTTTTATATGCACTAGGAAACCAAAAGATTTTGTGAAACACTTTTTTGTGATAGTCACTTTGTTGCTGTGTCTAGAACAGAACCTGCAATATCTCAGAGTGTGCCTACACATAAAAAGAGATCTTCCTAACCACAAATCTCACATATAAAATGCAAGACTTACTTTCTGATAGATCCATTCTGAAGGTCTTCAATGTAGTTTTGTCTTTCTAAACAATGTCCCCGGCACCTGTTGAACACTGAGGAGTGGATGAACAATTAAAAATAATAGCACAAAAAACAAATCTTTCCCCGACAAAGCAAACAAAAGCTGAAATTCACTAATTATTCAGGCTGTTAAATCTTACTACTTCCAGATACACTGCTTTTGGCCAAAGATTATCTTATATTGGAACAAATGAATTTTTTCTTTTCAAAATTTGAGAAATTCATCTATATTTCCATGTTAAACTTTTATAGAAAGGGAGAAATAGTGACAACCCTCATACTTACATTCAATTGCATCATCTGGCCTCATGCCTTCTACATCAATCAAATATCTAACAAAACAACATAATTTGGGTCATTTACATATACAAAAAGAAAAAAAAATCAAGTTCTTTTCAAAAACGGTCCAATTTCACTTAAAAATGTAGATATAAAGTTCCTAAGAAAATATCAGCACATCTAATTCAACAATTATTAAAGAATGAGATACCATGACTACAAAAAGACATTATTCCAAGAATATAAGGATGACCCAACTTTAGAAGACCTATTAATATTTACATCCATATAATGGTTTAACTAATAAAGGAAATAAAATATAGGACCAGACGTGGCAGACATTAAAAAGACATTTGATAAAATTCAACAGTCATTTTTGATCAAAATACTTCGTACACTAGGAACAGGAGGAGACTTCCTTAATATGACATAATATTTATCGGGAACCAACAATAGACCAAAGACAAACTGGGAAAAATACTAACATCATATCTAAAAAATACTGTGTAACCAAATATATAGACCAGAAACTCACTGTGAGTCATTTCTTCCTTACTCTTATCTTCAACCCACCACCAAGCCATAGCAACAATATTGCCTAAATACCTCTAGAATATGTCCACATCTTTCCACCAAAATGACCACCACCACCACACCTGGCCCAAACTACCATTATGCCTCAATTCCTGCAAAAGCCTCCTAATTCATCTCCTTGCTTCTACTTCTTTCCCTCTGCATTGTATTCTCCACTCAGTAGCAAAACGATAGATTGAAAATGCCAATTTTACTATGTTCCACACATTCATCCTTCCCTCCAAAAAGAAAGTTCAATGGTTTTCTATTGCTCTTAAGGTAAAGATTAAACCCCTGAACATAGTTCTGCATGATCTCCCCGTACCCATATTTCCAGCTTCATTTTAATGCCATACATTAATGCCTCCCCGGCTGGTTCTTCTAACAGAGCATATTTTTCCTATTTTAGGGTCTTTGCTGTTTCTGATGTCCAGAATTCTCTCCACAATGTCCCCACCTGCTTAATACATACTCATCCTTCAGATATTTGCTCAGATATTTGCTCAAAACTTCCCCATGGAAACCTCTAGCCTCCTGGATGAAGTCCAATCCTCTCTGTTACATGCTCTCATAGCCCCATGTCCCTCTCCTTGTTAGCACTTGTCAGAGTGGTAATTCTATAAGTATATGCATTTGTGTGATTCTTTAATATCTACTTCCTCTCTAGACTGTTAGGATTCACAGAGGACAGGTCAAGTCTCTTTCCTAGCACCCAGCACAGTGTCTACACATAGCAAATACTTAACATTTTCTGAATGAAAAAATTCAAATTGGTACAGTGTAGCAACATCCATAAAAAGCATTAAGGATGCATACCCTTTGATTCAGAAATTGCATTTTGCATGAAATTATCTCTGGGGCAATGACATGTGTATTCCAAGATGTTCACACAGGTATGTTCATTACCTCAATGTTTTATAGTATCAAAAACTTCTGACTTTTAGGTTCACCAGTATACAAAAGGACAATGCAGCCTTTAAAAAGAATGAGGTCTCCCTAGAAAGATGTCTACCACATATTAAATTATAAAACAGAATGTCTAACTGTTATACCATTAAATTACATGTATATATATACATAGTGCTAAGAAGGAGAGGGTTATGAGAGCATGTAACACATATATGCTTGCATCTGCATATTTAAAGCCTGAAAAGATATGTTCTAAATTATTAATGGTGGTAATCTCTGAGTGTGGGGCAAGGTTGCTTTCTACTTCATACATTTCTATATTGACTGCATTTTTGCAACAAGCTTATATTACTATTATAAATTGAGAAAAACAACTGAAACATGGTCTACGTCTGGGGTTAGCAACTCACCTGCAGATGAGATAGCCAGTCCTGTTTAAACCATGTGTACAGTGGACGCCAATAAGTTTGTCTGTAAAACAGAGACTACATAGTTAAGTAACTGAAGTAGATACACTAAAAATAAGTTACACGATTTTCTGAAGAGTAACATTCTAAGTTACCACATCTTTACCACTCCCCTGAAGAGAAATAAATCTGAAGAGGAATGTGTTTTTTAGGAACATAAAGAATAAAAATATAGGGGCCGGCCCAGTGGCGCACTGCTACAGTGCGCCGCTTGGGGGTGCGGCAGCGCTCCTGCCAAGGGTTCGGATCCCACATACAGACCGGTTCCCGCTCACTGGCTGAGCGAGGTGCAGGCACGACACCGAGGGTTGCAAGCCCGTTGCTGGTCCCGGTCCGGTACGGGCGCGACACTGAGGGTTGCGATCCGTTGCCAGACACGAAAAAAGACAAAAAGGAAAAAAAAAAAAAGAATAAAAATATAAAGAATATCTAACAGAAAGCCATTGTCTGATTGTCTCTGGGAAATTTTACATAGCCCCAATTAAACTTGATGTAAACCATAAAAATTCTGGTCAGGTTCTAACAGCTCAAATTGCATTGGGACAATCCCATTTGTTTCCATATACAATGTCCATCATTAATTGATTTAATTATTTTAAAAGGGAGTGGGGAAAAAAAGAAACAGGCTATGAAAGAATGAAATTTGTTTCTGAAGAAACAAATGAAATGCCTTCACTTTTAATACTGAATATTAAGAACAGTTTCCATAGTACACTTGAGTTCCCAAAGCACTTCCATTCCTTCTCTCATTTGGTGCTCCTCACGTCACAGGTCTACATGCCCTGTGAAATACTCAGGTAAACAGCACTATTTATATTTTACAACAAAAAGGAAAGGCTACACAGCAGACAAATAGAACAAAGGCTAGAACCAAGTAGAAGATTTTTCCAATTATCCTATAGTATTTTTTAGTCCATCATTTAAGAAAAATTATATGAGGAATTAAACAAAAAAAACAGCAGCTTGCCTTCACAAAATCTGTGTCTGTGAGTAGGTGGTGCCTGGTATGGAAGACATTCATCGTCACCTGCCTGAATTGCTACTACAAATTAACCTCTCTACTTCTGCCTCTTCTATTTCAATTGATCCTCCATAGGGAAGATGTTATCCTTCTAAAACATAGATTTGGCTGTGTTGTTCCTTTGCTTAAAAATCTTCACTTAGCATAGAATAAAGCCAAAATATTTTAGCATGGCATTTAGAACTCTTTATATAAACTGATATCAGTCTCTCTTTCCAATTGAATTATAAGTCTGCAATGATCCTATGATTCACAAAGACCTCTATGATCCACCTCCCTCCTGCACACCCCCAGCCTCTCTGATACCATTTTCTACTGCGCTGACCCTTACTTACTCACTCCACCCCAGCCACACTGGCCTCCTTACTATTCCTCAAACATGCTAAGTATAGTCATTCCTCAGGGACTTTGCACCTGCTCTTCCCTCTGCCTTGGAACACTCCTCCCCTAGATATCCAATGGCTTGGTGCCTCACTTCCTTTAAGGCTCTGCTGAAATGACATCTTAATAGAGGGGCTTTTCCTGATCACCCACCACTCCCCTCATCCCTTTATCTTGGTTTGTTATTCTTCAAAACACTATCACCATCTAACATTCCATATAGTTACGTGTTTCTCTCTCTCCCCCACTAGAATGTAATGTATATAAAGGCAAATATTTTATTCTGTTCCCACTTCCCAGAACAGTGCCTTCAACATAGAAGGCTATATAAATATTTGTTGCAAATGAACATATGAATTCGACACCCTTCACACTACCTTCTAGTCACACCAGAGGCCGCTTCTCCACAGCTTCAAGCCCTGTGTCTTTTTCATCTATTCCTAATAACTGGGCTGTCCTTTCCTCATTGTGGCAAAATCCTCTTCCCTCCAATCCAGCTAAAATGCTGTCTCCTCAGTCAGGCCTTCATTAACCTCTCCTCTATATTCTTACTGCACTCAATTTACTGTTTTATTATACTTAACCCATGTCTTAAACCACATATACTACATGTTTATCTTCCTAGATAACTGAGTTTCTAAAGAACAAAGACTGCTATTCCCCTCTTTATCCCCAAGACCTAACAATAAGCCTAAAAGGCTCTTTCTCAGTAAGTGCTTACTGAATCAATTTATTTTCTGAGTCTTTACTAGTTCTAGGGAGTGGATAGTGTAGTGTCCTTCTCTTGATATCTGTGGAGAAGTTTGTAGCAAAGGTAGCCAAAAGTGATAATAAATGAGATCCCATGACTGCTATAGTAGGGAGTACTGCGAGACATAGAAAAGTCAGCACAACTCAGGCAGAAGACCAAGACGGGATTCAGCCTATCCAACTGACCATACTGGGTGTAATATGTAAACAACCAAGATTTAGAAATGTGTTCCCCACGTACTCATAAGGATTTCCTAGCCCTCACAGAACAGATGAAACACCATATAATAGTTTCACACACAAGAGACTGGAAGCGGGGAGTAGGCTGGCAGCTGCCCCCTCACTTCTTAAGAAGTAATATATTTTTGTGATCACAACTTCTACAAATGAGATAATTTACTTCCTTTGTAGATGCTGTGGTTATCACAGGCAAAAAGCCAAGCTCTCAGGGCCTGCCCCGTGGCTCACTTGGGAGAGTGTGGTGCTGATAACACCAAGGTCAAGTGTTCGGATCCCTATATAGGGATGGCCGATTAGCTCACTTTGGAGAGCGTGGTGCTGACAACACCAAGTCAAGGGTTAAGATCCCCTTACCGGTCATCTTTAAAAAAAAAAAAGAAAGCCAAGCTCTCAAGTCTTGAAGTACAGGGGATGATCTGTGAACAGGGTTTAAGATATTTAAGAACTAGTGCCTTCATTAAGTGACCAGGTTATAGTTTGAAATTTATTTTCAAATCCACTGATCCAGTCTCTCTCTCTCATCTCCCATCCCCCATATTCCCACCTCCATCTCTATTCTTTCTCCCCTACTCCCTGTCATATTAAAAAAAAAAAAAAAAGAATATTTACTATCTGTCAGATTTATGTAATAAAGTGTACCCTCCTTGAGCTAAATTTAGAAAGAAGGCAAAATGAATGCTTTGTAAACTGTGAGTTGTTACTGGCTTTCCAAAGAAAAAATCTCCTTCGTTATTAAAATATGGTAAACATCATGTTCTTTCTGGTAGGTAGATGCCAGAAAAAGACAACAGGATCCTTAAAATTTGGATGCTATTAAGATCTATTTTCAACAGAGTAAGGTAGATCTTAAGGCAGGAACAAGCAAGTTTCAGCCTTTGAACTAATTTCTTCCTGTCTGAAGAATAAAAATAAGTGTCCTCCCTCACCTGTACTCAAGGTAGAAAAACAACAGAAATATCTTTTTTTTTTTCCTTTTTTGTCTTTTTTTTTTTTACTGACCGGAGACGGGATCGCAACCCTCTGTGTCGCGCCTGTACTGGGGACCGGCAACGGCATCGCAACCCTCGGTGTTGCGCCCGCACCATGCTCAGCCAGTGAGCGGGAACCGGTCTCCACATGGGATCCGAACCCTTGGCAGGAGCGCCGCCGCGCTCCCAAGCGGCACACTCTCCAGTGTGCCACCGGGCCGGCCCACAACAGAAATATCTTAAATACACATGACAGAGATGTAATTCCACTGGTCCACACTGTTGATTTGCTTCTAGTGGTCTCTCTCACTCCTAATCTTTGCCTTTTGTTGTCTCTTTTATGTAACTCTAAGACCCTGAGATTTTAAATCTTTTCTTTCACCTCCCACTTTTTAACCAATATGTAAGACAAAAGAACCTTTTTATCTTATTACATATTTCCCATTCAAATGTTTAAAGAAGAGATGAATAGGCTAGTTCAGTTCATACTTCTCACTCAAATTATCTTCCAAAGTAAATTAAATTCTTTATTTGTAACAAAAGGAAAAACACCTTATCCTATTATCACCTACTGACATTTTCACCTTAACATCATGAAATACAACAGGCCTAATGTTGGAACTATTAAAAATAATAAAAAATCCCCAACCCCATTCAAAATGCACACCAAAGTTCAGATAAGAAAAAAAAACAAAAACTCACCATTATCTTTATTTTCTTTCAAAAACCCATTAACAGCACATTTGAATTTTAAAATAGTGTCATCATCAGGCACCCGATGCCCAACTGTAAAAATTTTTAAGTAAGGAATAGTTTCTGGTAAATCCTATAAAGTAAAATCATGAAAAATGTATGTTATTTCATTTGTAGGGAAGGAATTAAAGATTAATTCCAGAATATAAACCAAGAGATTAGAATAAACTTAATATGTCAGTAATTCTGATAAAAAAGCCATTTTTTTTCCAAAGCTGCTTCAAGGAATATCACTTGATTTTCATTAAAACTACAGAACAGATAGTCAATAGGCATACAAAACTCAAAGCAAATTCCATGTGAATAAATGCATATATAACTAAATATTTTATAAATAGTTTTATATAATATTTTCAATTTCTACGTAATAGTTCACATTTCAAAGGCCAGTTCCTTCATAAAACAGCTGCAATGTATGTAAAATAGTAGAACAGAGTCAGAAGAACTTAGATATGAATTACGAGATAGAGTGAAATTCAGGTACTGTTGAGAACTGGTATTCTTGTGGTTGGAGAAAGTAGATACAAATGAAAGACAGAAGAGGTTAAGTGAAAATCCTGCAGTTCTGAGTTTAAATGGGAAGTATCAATATGACACCATGATATATTTTACATTACAAACAAACACATATTTCCTAGCTCTGTACGTGGAAAAAGCCTAGAAACAATGTCAGCCTAGTAGCAATGAACACTTCAGGAACTCAGACTGTAATCTCTAAATACCTTTCTCACTGGAAGGAATAAAAGCTCTTTGGATAAATGGCTGAGCTCAGGTTGGGGCACAAAATGTACAAGAAGAGCTTGAAACTTTTTTTTCAAACAAATGCAAAAAAAGTGATCAAAGATTGCAAGGGTTGTGTCAAAAGGACTGAGAAGATAAATTGAGAAGCTCCAATTGTTCAAAGACAGGACCTCAATTTGTGCCTCAATAAGAAAAACAACTGCAATGGAGTTCATAATGACACACAAAATTAATTAATAAAATATAATATCTAATTGGTAACCACTAGAGAATATTAGTAAATCAACTCATTATTTTGAAAACTGTTAAATAAGAGTATCATGCCTGTATAACTGGGCAATCAAATAGTGGATGAAAGGAAAAACTTCTTATAGAAATATACCTAGTAATAAATGAAAAAAGAATGATAGACTTCACCATTAATGGATTTAGGTATCAATCATCTATGCCTGCTAATATCACAGAAAGAGACAACCACTCATTAAAAGCTTCCTGATGAAAGAACACATCATCACCTATGAAACTGTCTTGCAACAACAACAACAAAAAAATCAAGCCTGAATCTGATCAAGCGAGGTCTGACTACCAAGTTACAGGAAATAAAAAGACCAAAGTATATTTTAAAACAAATAGTTATGCAATCATCAAAACCTATGTAGTACAAATTACCTGGTTTCTTTAAAACAAAAAATTCAAAAGAAAAAGAAAGTGAGAGAGACATGGAGGGGAACCTATAGATTACATAAGACTTAAGAGACCTAACAACCAATGGCAAAATGACAATTTTTATGACATTTAGGAGATGATTGCAAATTTAAAGCACTGATTGGATATTTGACATTAAAAAACTGTTATTAAGGAATAAAAGTCCTATATAGTTGACCCCTGAACAATGTGGGGGTTTGAAGCGTTCAAACCTTGTACAGTCGAAAATCCACATTCCGCTTTTGACTCCCCAAAATCTTAACTACTAATAGTCTACTGTTGACCAGCAACCTTAGCAATAACACAGTCCACTAACACATATTTTGTATGTTATATAATATATTCTTACAATAAAGTAAGCTAGAAAAAAGAAAATGTTATTAAGAAAACCAAAGAAAGAGAAAATACATGTACAATTACTGTATGTATATTTATTGAAAAAAATCCACATGTAAGTGGTCCCACAGAATTTAAAACCGTGTTGTTCAAGGATCAACTGCATTATAAATATACATACCAAGAATGTAGAGAAAAAATTATATAATATCTGGAATTTGCTTCAAAATATGGAATGGGGTGAAATAGGTAAGGATATAGATAAAACACAACAGCTATCAGTTCATAGATATTGAAGCTCAAAGAGTTCATGGGTGTACAATTAAAAGCAACAAATATTAGTGTCTCCTTCTGCATATCTCTGAAATTTGTGATAATAGTTTAAAAACAAGAGGACAACACTATGGAAAACAGTTTGGCAGTATGTCATAAAATCAAACATAGAACTACCATATGACCTAGCAATTACACTCCTACCTACGTAGCTAAAAGAATTGGAAGCAAAGGTTCAAACAAATATTTGTACACCATTGTTAACAGCAGTGTTATTCACAGTTGCCAAAAGGTGGAAACAAGCCTACCGCCCATCAATAGATGAACAGATAAATAAAATATGTTATATGCACACAATGGAATACTATTCAGCCATAAAAAGGAATATTTCATACGTACTATAACTTGGATAAACCTTAGAAACACGCCTACTGAAATAAGCCAGACACACAAGGGAAAATACTGTATGATTCCACTTCCATGAGGAACCTAGAAGAGGCAAATTCAGAGAGCAAAAGTAGACTAGAGGATACCCAGGGCCTAGGGAGAAGGGAGAATGACTGATGGTTACAGAGCTTTTGTCAAGGATGGTGAAAAAGTCCTGGGTATAGACAGTAGTGATGGTTATACAACATTGTGAATGGTTTTAATGCCAATGAATGGTACCCTTATGAATGACTAAACTGATAAATATCATTATGGAGGCTTTACCACAATAAAAAAGGACAAGAGAGAAAATGAACTCAAGTTTTAATTCTTCCTTTTTTGAACCTCACTTTTATCAAAAACAGCAAAAACTGGTTGTTAATTGTAATCATCTATCCTCTGACTTTAGTGCAGAATAAGTACCCAATAGGAGACATTAATACTGCTGCTATTTCATCAGCACAGGATTATTGTGAAGATTAACTAAATTAATACATGTGAAAGTACTTTTTAAATGGCAAACTGCTATACAAATACAAGTGCTAACAAACATTAGGTGTTACTGTTCCAAAGGCCATGAAACTGGTCAGGAGGATAATTCTTTCCCACTGATACGCCACATGGGGCCAGCCGAATACACAGGTTTCCTTCTTATATGAAAATATATTAGGAGAAGAAAGCATAAAACTTAGATGACAAGTGTCTTTTACCATGATGCTTACACATGCTCAGGCAGCTGCTTAAAATAAGTGCTAAAGACATACAATGTATTCTTTTCTTTCCTTTCAGGCCACTACAAGTCTTACTAAATCTACTTCATTTTCAAAATAATGATATGGACACTTATAGAATTTCTTAAGCACACCCACAGCCTACTGCCAAATATTATAGCTCAATTCATGTCTAAATTCTCATTGTAAGTCAGCAATTAAAAATATTTAATTAAGGAAATCATCTGGTTCCCTTTTAAAATTATTACCCAGGAAAGAAGGCCGGCCTTCACATTAGCACAAGATGACAACTTCTGAATTACTGCTGAATTACCATGAATTATTTTAGTATTAGAATGAAGAAAGTTCTCTTCAATTAAGGGTTCTGTTTACCTCTGGTTTATAATAGCGTTGAGTATATGTTAAATCAATTATCAGTCCTAGTTCTTCATTTTGTTCTCGGATTTTGTTAAAAAGATCCAAAGGGGAAAAGCGTTCTTCTGGAGCAAGTTTCTCTTCAAAACTCTGTCAAAGAGAATGAAATAAGAAAGAGCAAATGTGTGTTTAAAATCCTGTGTTATACTATACATTTACTCAAGCCCTGTGATGCTAACATACAATGGGTTTTGAAGGAAAGTTTCTACTCTTCTGGAATGAAGAAGCTACATTACAATCCTTTCATCCAGTAAGACCAGAAGGAAGAAAATAAGCCCAATTCTACGCATTTATTTCTATGCTTATTTATTTCCTGTTGGTCTCCTAGCCAAACTGTAAATTCCCAGAAGGCGAGAATCACACTTTGTTCACCACTGTATCTCCAGCTAACAGTGGACTGCCCATCATATCTAGTGCTTATAAATATTTCTTAAATGTCTACATGTATGAAGGATGGCTTTTATTGCGAAATATTCTTTTGTATATGTGGCTTATTTTTGGACTTTATGCTCTTTTCAATTGATCTGTCTGGCTATTCAAGGGCCAGCAACATAACTTTTTTTTTTTTTAATAGCCTTTAGTTTTTAGAGCAGTTTTAGGTTCACAGCAAAATTTAGCCAAATGACAGACTGTACTTTCCCTCCGGGACCATCAACATTCCATCCCAGTGTGGTCCGTTTATTACAATCGATGAACCAACTCTGACACATCACTATCAACTAAACTGCATACTTTATATTACATATGGTTCACTCCGTGTTATATATTCTATGGGTTTTGACCAATACAGGTGGTCTTCAAAAAATTCATGGAAGGATTCACATTACCTTTTAATTCAACTTTTTCACAATCTTATAGAAGGATCCTCTTCTATAAAGACACGTATCAACCCTTCCTTTTTGTATCACACACAGTAGTTTCACTGCCCTGAAAATCCCCTGTGCTTCAACAAGACACTTTTAATATCGTTTAATATGTGGTAGGGCTAGAGGACTCCCCCCTCCACCTCCATTATTCTTTTTCAGACTTTTCCTGGCTATTTATGTTTATTTTTCTATGAGTTTAAGAACCTGCCTAACTCAGAAACTTCCTACTGAGATGATTTTATGTTTAGAAATTAACTTAGGAAGACTTCTCAGATTTGACGGTGAGTCTTCCACATAATATTGTAAAAGTTCTGAAGAGTAAATTGCTTAGAAAGCCATCTATTCAGCCAGTTTCTTGCACAGACATGGAGCGGATGAATCAATTATCATCTCCATCTATTTGCATAATAACTAACATTAGATAGCTAATTTAAGTCATAAACCCTTTAGTAAGACTTCCTCAATTAACTCTGTCTGGAGTCACTTCTCCCTCCTTTGAATTCGTAAGTAATTTTTGCCATAGCATTTATTTGACACTTACATAATATTTCATACTCTAGTGTGCTTGGGAAGTGACTGTCAAGTATTGAGGCTGTTTTTCCTTGGGTGTCTTCTCTAAGAAACACGAGAAACCAATGCCACATTTCACTGCCACACACGGATAGTTCATCTCTCTACCTCCACTACATGCACAGGAACTACACTGAGAGCGCTTATACTCCTTCATAATCCCCTCTATGGTACTTTCAACAACCCCAACACTGAAGAAAACAAGTATACAGAACTAGAAGAAGCCTTTAATTAAGACATCGGGCAGCAATGATTTGTGGCGGTGGGGAGAAAAAGAAGTGAAGAGTCCTCCGGTTTTCTCTCCTCTTGTCGATGGACTTTCAGGCAAGGGGCTGAGCAGGGACCCTTCTGAAAGCGCAGGAGTCAATTTTAAGAGGCCACGGAGTAGGAACTTCAAGAGTTAGGACAATAGCATAGACGAGGAGATGTATAGGAAAAAATTCACAGTAACTGCAAACGTGGGTAAGGAATCCATTCATTCAACAAAGATTTGTTAACATTCTGTTATATGTCAAACACTATGCTTGGTGTTGTTGGATGTAGGTGTAAATAAGAACCACGTGTTTATCTCTCTAAAACAACTAATTTGGAAGTCTAGAGATGCAGAAAAGTTGACACAGCAGGTGAAAAAGGAAGCCTGACCTATGGGTCACAAACTGAATAAATTCCTAAAACATTCAACGTGGGCTTTTCCTGATACTAATCCCTGCTATGTTGCGCAATTTTAACAAGATATGAAATCTAGAAGACAATATTTGTCTTCATCTTCTCTTCTTACATTTTTTATGCATGTCATATGCTTTCCCAACCTATTCCTTTCCTAGTTCAAACAAAAACACAACCTTCAGAGTTTCCATGTTCACATCGATCTCGCTGATGCAGACCACTTTTGTGGTTGTGACAACAGGAGGGAAGGGGTCTTACTGGCATCTAGTAGGTGAGGATCATAGATGCTAGACAGCTTGCCAAATTCAGAACAGTCCCACAAATGTGTCCTGCATACAGAATGACTTTCACTGTCCTACTCAACATTAATATGAGTTAAAAAAAACTTCATATTTATGTCAGCCTCGAACCCAACTCCATTTCACAAACAAACGCAAAGTAGTTTGCACAATTTGAATGAACACAGAATTTTCCAGGATAATAATAATCTTACCAACCAAGTGAAGACCGTACTTTGTTTTGTTTGCAAATCACCTAAAAGCGGTTCACTACTATGAAAACCCCTACCACTAAGTCAATATAACCCACCTAGAGCAGTCTGCATTTGTAATTCTTGCACTCATGGTGCAAGCAACTATTTCTTCATGTCCTCTAGTGTAGTTGTGTCCAAACATTTACATATTGAAACACTATTACTTTATTACAAATTACTTTTCAAAAATTTATTCTTTATATTATAATGATGGTATTACATTGACTTTTTTCTTTCAATTTATGTATGAAGTAGATTATATTTTATCTATGAATTTCATTTCAGTAAGAGGCATTACAAAGTATCTGCTACAAAAATGGAAAATGGAGTGTGAGAGGGTTGAGAACCAGTGTCCCACATGGTTAATTCAGATTTCTGAAAGGATACTGAATTAACTTTTGCTTACCTTTTGCAAAGGAACTTTGAAAGCAATGAACCGAGTCCCAGGCATGCGCTGTCCAACTGGGAGATAGTCCTTCCACCTATCAGATATATTTTTTATTAGCCAAAGTGTATGATAGCCTTGTCTCCCTGCAGAGAATGAAGAAACCTTGAAAATGGGAATCACAGCCCACACAGCATGTCCCCTCTTTCCTCTGTTTTGCATTTTGCCACACCACTTATTCAATCCCACCTAGTAACAACCTAGACTTTCCTTCTTCCTGTTTCTCCATCTTGAAAACATATACAAGACAACAAAACAGTGCGAGATTCCCCCAAATAAGGCATATTTAAAACCAGAGACGGCCAGAACTTCTGTATCCCTGACAAAACTTGGCCTAGTACCAAATGCCAAGAAAGCATTAATTATACATTGACTGAAAGAGTTTAAATTCAATTCTTTCACTTCACAGTTTATTTTTGGTCTTTACACAACTGATGCCATTAAATTCAACCAGTAGGGAAGTCTGAGTTCATATTTTAAGAGAAAACTTGATAGAAAGGGCCTGTGAACTCCAGGTGGCACAGTGAAAAGTAATATTTGAGTTGACTTCTGTGGGATGAGTTTTAACTAACTGGGGTTAATACAGTATATCTGCAGCACAGAAAGTGAGGACAAGAGTGGAAAGAGATGGGGCTGGAAAAGCAGACAGGATCCCAGACCATGCAGAACCTTATATTACAGATATCGATAAGGAGTTTGTTTCTATTCTTAAAACAATGTTTTTGAGCAATGTTTATGAGCAATATTCCGATTACAATTCAATTTCAGTTTTTCACAATTACCTATTAAAAAAATTTCCTGTGTGAAGAATGGATTGAAAGGAAACAAGTAGATGAATGGACACTAATTAGGACCCAACTGCAATAGGTCAGGCAAAACGTGTATTGAGGAGCTGATAGAGAAGTTGACAGAGTCAAAAGATACTCTGGAAATAGAATGAGGTATGAGATGAGGGAGAGGAAGGTCTCAAGGAGGAAACACAGTTCACAAAGTCCCCAAATGAACCGTCTGCACGTACAGAGGAAGGTATCTCAGATGACACCTGTTTGGAAGCAACAGTCTGCACTTTGAGTTTCTGGAAACAGTACAAACCTACCTTCCATGTAAGATCTCAGGGCGGTACTGCTGGGTTAATTTTCTCAAACTTCTATCTTATTACTCACTTTCTCTGTGCCAATATAACACAGCTTGGGGAATTGAGGGAGGTTCCATTTGGGTAACTGAGGAGTGTCCCCAACACTAACAGTTCCGCCTTAAAGCAGTCCTTCCGTCTGTCTTCTCACTGACGAGCAATGGCCGGGCCTCGCTTTTAAAAGAATGGGGGGTGGGGCGGAGATCACAGACACTGTCCCTTTCAGCGACTGCGGGCGGGGCAGCGAGAGGGACACTGCCTCTAAGGGACAAGGGTCGGAAGGGGCGGAGGGGCCGAGCGCGCGGCAGTGACAGTGAGAGGCGGCGACTGCAAGACCTGAAGCCCAGGCCCGGACGCTACCGGCTGGAAGGGCCATGCCCAAGCCCCGGCGCATTAAGTGAGGACAAGAGTGGAAAGAGATGGGGCTGGAAAAGCAGACAGGATCCCAGACCATGCAGAACCTTATATTACAGACCATAATAAGGAGATTGTTTCTATTCTTAAAACAATGTTTTTTAGCAATGTTTATGAGCAATATTCCGATTACAATTCAATTTCAGTTTTTCACAATTACCTATTAAAAAAATTTCCTGTGGGAAGAATGGATTGAAAGGAAAGAAGTAGATGAACGGACACTAATTAGGACCTCGTATAACTTCGTATAATGTATGCTATACGAAGTTATTACGCATAGTGTTTGAGGTACTAGCCAGAATGATCAAGCAAGAGAAAGAAATAAAGAGCATCCAGATTGGAAAAGACAAAGTAAAATTGTCCCTGTTTGCATATGACATGATTCTATATGTAGAAAAGCCCAAAGACTCTACACAAAAACTCTTAGAGTTGATAAATGATTTCAGTAAAGTTGCAAGATACAGAATGAGCACTCAAAAATCAGTAGGGTTTTTGTATTCCAACAATGATGGAAGGGCCATGGCCAACCCCCGGCGCATATTACCTTTCGGGGACGTGGTTTCCGCCCGAACCCTTCTTCTTAGCCGAGCAGCGTCCAGAAAAGTGGCGGCCCAAACCCCAGCCACCGCGAGTACGATGCCATTGGCTCATGTGGGCCCCAAGATGCCGACCACCCGATACCAATAAAGCCAAAGCGGCCAGCCCGGCGCAGTCGGTGACAGAACAAGTTCCCAGAGCGAAGGCGCCTCCGCACCAAACACGAAGCGACCCGCCGCCCGCTGCTGCGCATGCGCCACCGCCCGTCTCGCCGACCTCACCGCGCCGCTTACCGAGGCGCTTGGTTTGTAAACAGGCCTTTGCTGGCTACAGCGCCCTCCTTAGCCGACAGCCGGTACTACAGGACGATGAGTTCGTGTCTGCGCCCTTCAGAGTTCAAAACAGGACATGGGATGGAAAGCCAAGTCCTCCTGCTACCAATCCCTCGTGCGTTCCCCCAGATGTTTCCAAGTGCTTCCATTCACATTTTGAATATTGTGTCTCTTTACTTTCACACATATGTATATCCCCTATTTTTATACAAAAGCAGCATGCTCTGCATATTCAATACATCTTGAACACCGATATTCACGGTCAATTTATATGCACCCCCCTTCTATTTTTTAATGGCTGTACAGCATTTGATTGAGTATAAGTAACATAATTAAAAGTATCATAATTTATTTAACCAGTCTAATATTGGTGGACCTTTAGTTGTTTTGAGGTTGTAGTTGTTTTGTCTTCAGTTACAGACGATGCTGTAACGTGAACATCCTTCTACATATATACAACTATATCTAAATTCCTAGAATTAGATTTGCTGCAATGAAACATATACAAACTTGAAATTTTGAAAGATTCTGCCTAATCAGGCATTAAAAATAATGTGGCAATTTATACTGCCATTCACAGCCTAACTTTTACTGGGTTCCTATCCCATGCCAGGTATCATGCTAGAGGTGACAGCATGTATTTACATTTTAGCAATACCAAAACATCACTGAGAGAGATAAGGGTGGAGCTCAAGTCCAAGATTTCCACCCGGTATCAGGCATAGGAATCTGTACCTGTTAGAAAAACTCTGATATCTGCTACAAGTGGAATAGCAAAGGGCAGCACGTCCTACAGTAGGTCTGAAGACAGAATAGACTACTAAATTCCAGATTAAACTGTTGTTAATTATAATAACAAATTTTAGTTTCCAATTTCTGAAAGTACCTTACATGCATTGTTAGTAATCTTCACTACCATTTTAGGGCTGGGTAAACTAAGGGTCAGAGAAGTCAAAGTTATTGAATAAATGAATGAACGAATGATTGAATGAAAGGGACAAAAGACCACTAGCTTTAACATTTTTGGAATACTCGTATCGCAACAAATTTTAAATCTACAAACACTGAATATTTCCACATAATTAGAAATGGGTCATTATTACTGAATTCCTAATTAGAAAAACAAAAGACAGAAGTTGGCATCACACAGATTACAAAGTTACAATTATGCACATTCATATGTGGTATTCAATTATAAAATCCCCTTTGGAATTTATAGAAAAAATATCCAATAGGTGTATGGTTACCAAAATGTACAAATGGTACAAATATCTATAAACATGACAACACACAAAATGTGACATAAGTCTGTCAGAAACTAGAAATGCTGTATTAGTCAGGGTTCTCCAGAGAGACAGAATCAATAGGATATGCTTTAATTCCATGAGAGTGATTTATTAAGGGAATTAGCTCACGTGGCTATGAAGAAAAGTCCCACGATAGGCCGTCTATAAACCAGATGCCGGTAGCGTGGCTCAGTTCAAGTCCAAAGGCCTCAGATCCAGGGAAACTGATGGTGTTCTTGGTATAGGTTCTGGAACCCAAAAGTTGAAGAGTCTCAAGCCCTGATGTCCGTGGACAGGAGAGAAGAGTGTATCTCAGCTCCAGTGGATCGAAAGAGAGCTTCACCTCTTTCCTCTGTATTTTGATCCCTCGGACCCCAGTGGATTGGATGGTTCCCACCCACACTGAGGGTGGGTCTTTCACATCCAGGCCACTCAGACACTCATACTAATCTCTGCTGGAAACACCTTCATGGATGCACCTAAAAGATTGCTTTACCAGGTTCCTCAGCATTCCTTCATCTAACCAAGCTGACATCTAGAATTAACCTTCACAAACACTATATTGATGTTGTACTTGCAGTTTGCTAAAAGGCACAAACTTGGGGTGAGAACAAACTCAGTTATAGTTGGTACACACAAAAACCCAGATCTGGGCAGAATAGGGTTTCCAGAAGGTATGGGAACTGGCAAAGAGCAGGCTGTTTTGGAAGGGAGTGTGTCCAACATGAGGTAAAAGTATGTCTTCACCTGTATGAATACAACCCCAAAAGCACAGGCAACCAGAGAAAAAATGAACAATTGTGATTATGTCAAATTAAAGGGCTGCTGCACAGCAAAAGAAACAATTAACAGAGCAAAAAGACACCCAAGAGAGTGGGAGAAAATATTTGCAAAATATACATCGGACAAAGGATTGATATCCAGAGTATACAACCAACTCAAACAACTGAACAGCAAAAAACCAAGGAACCCTATTAAAAAATGGGTAAAGGAGCTTAACAGGCATTTCTCAAAGATATACGAATGGCCAACAGACACATGAAAAAATGCTCAACATCACGCAGCATTTGAGAAAGGCAAATCAAATCCACTTTTAGATACAATCTCACTCGAGTTGGGACGGCTAATAGCCAAAAGGCAGAATGATAAATGCTGGCGAGGATGTGGAGAAAAAGGAACCCTCCTACCCAGTTGGTGGGACTGCAAAACGGTGCAGCCGCTATGGAAAATTGTATGGAGACTCCCCAAACAATTACAGATTGATCTTCCATATGAGCCAGCTATTCCACTGCTGGGTACATACCTGGAGGAATGGAAATCATCATGTCGAAGGGACACCTGTACTCCCATGTTGAGTGCAGCACTATTTACAACAGCCATCATTGGACGAGTGGATCAGGAAAATGTGATATATCTACACAACGCAATACTACTGTGCTATAAAAAAAGTGAAATACAACCATTTTCAGCAACATAGATGGACTTAGAGAAAATTATATTAAGTGAAATAAGCCAGGCACAGAAAGAGAAATACCGCAGGTTCTCACTTCTTCATGGGAGCTAATAAAAGTAAATAAATAAATAGAAAAACAAATAAATGGGGCAGGGAGAAGAAGACACAACAATCACGATTCCGTGACTTTGTTAAGTGAACGGATATGATGTTGACGGAGGGCACTGGGGAGAGGGAGGAGGCAGAGGAAGAATTGGTGAAGGGACACGAAGGTCAACGACACTGTTTAGTGATAAATAAAATGGTTTTGAAAACTAAAAAAGTGTGCCTTCACAAGCACGTCGTACAGTGGGTTGAAAAGCTTAGGAGTAAGGGACATTTGGAGCATGAAACAGCTAAGGTGACACTAACAATATCTACCACAATCTGGCAGGGCCCAGGCACAATGTAGGCATTTGAGGGATTCCAGTCTTTAAGAAAAGCAAAAAGACAGAAAGGATAGAATAAAGAAGGGCCTCGTTTATTCCAGCACTATTTACAACAGCCATCATTGGATGAGTGGATCAGGAAAATGTGATATATCTACACAACGCAATACTACTGTGCTATAAAAAAAGGTGAAATACAACCATTTTCAGCAACATAGATGGACTTAGAGAAAATTATATTAAGTGAAATAAGCCAGGCACAGAAAGAGAAATACCGCAGGTTCTCACTTCTTCATGGGAGCTAATAAAAGTAAATAAATAAATAGAAAAACAAATAAATGGGGCAGGGAGAAGAAGACACAACAATCACGATTCCTTGACTTTCTTAATTGAACAGAGATGATGTTAATGGAGGGGACTGGGGAGAGGGAGGAGGCAGATGAAGAATTGGTGAAGGGACACGAAGGTCAACGACACTCGTATAACTTCGTATAATGTATGCTATACGAAGTTATTACGCATTTTTCTGTTTATTACACATGTTTTGTTAATACGGTTTCTCGGTCTATGTTTATAGGTTTATTGAAAATCACCTTCTATCGTGGTCCGTTTTTGGTTAATAGTATTCACTCAGAGTAGATAATATTCGCTTTCATAATATTACATCTCTGATAACAGAACTTCATTTATGAGTAAACTTACTAAGCTTTGACTCTTGCTATATTCATTATACCTCAATTTTCATTAATACCTACGTATTCCATTTAGTACTGTGATGTTACGTGTTTTTCATGACTTTTGTCTTATTGTCTTTCCAGAACTTAATGATCTTCCTTCATACAAGTCATATGTATTACTTTCATTCATGTGTGAATTATAATTTTTATTATTATTCTAATCACTATTTAGAGGAGTAACCTAAAGCTCAGAGAGTTTAATTAGCTTTTTCTTCAAACGGCATTTCTTGAGAAACACTGAGGTAGTCATTTTGACTTTGGAGCAGAAGCTAGGCTTGAAGAGGGTTAAGAATGGTCCTTTACATTTACCCACTGGTGGGCTTACATGTGAACTCTACGGAATGGCATGTGACCTACCCAAGCAAAATGAGACCGAAGATTGCAATAGCAGTAGGTGTACAGTTTTCTAATGCACACACACACAAAAAATTGCCTGCATTTAAGGTGTCATTTCTCCCAGTTTCTGGCCTTTGCTCAGAGCAAGAGGTCAGGGTCCGTAACCTGGCAATGATACAAACATAACGAGAGAACTTGAATAAGACAATCTGACCTCTCTGAGCCTCGGTTTCCTCACTTGTAAAAGGAGAATGTTAAAACAGAAGTTTGCTAAGGGCCTACTACTTCTAAAATGCTTCAATTCTAGGAAAAAGTTATGAGACAATGCTAGTACAGGCTCAAGGGAAAGACAGGGCAGGGAGAAGTTTGCTTCTAACCTGGGGAACAACACATGAACCAGACTACTTGGGTCTTCTGCACATCTGTGCCCAAGTTGGAGCAGAGGCAGTTCCTCAGAAGAGTATCAAAGTGCTCCAGCACTTACAGACATCATAAGCTTTGACTTTTGGTATCTCAGTGAGTATTGGTATTAGAGACTTCCTGATTGCAACAACCTTAAGATAATGCTGTTCCTTAAACCTAGTGAAAGTTTACCAATCTCACCATTTGTTCATCACCCTTTTGTTTCCTGCAGAAAATTTCCAAAATTCATCTGTACTTGGAACTGCAAATTCTCTTCAGCTCTCTCTTCCTGTGGTGAGCCATGCAGCTTCTATAACAGCTGGAAGTGTCTGCAACTTTTCCAGCACCCCTGCTCCAGCTGCCAATTCGGCATGGCTACTGCCATCAGCCTCTGGCACTTCTTTCCAGCCACTCATAGGTAGTGCCTACCCTTACCAACATTCTAGCACAGCTATGTTGTCTGGGGTTCCTGGCCAGAGCCAGATCTCCACTTCAGCTACCTCCTACCCAGGTATTCTGAAGTGGGATATCACAGGAAGCACTGAAACAAAGTCATCTTCACTCGAAGACTACACGGTCACTGCCATTGATCGAGACACACCTCTTCCTTCTACATCTATGGCAGCCCAGAATGAGAAAACTGCCCATACTGTGGTCCCTCTGTATCCATCACTGTCTGCCAGCCTTGTTCAGGGGACACCATCTCAGATTCCAAATCAGGGGCATAGTCTGTCCCTTCCTTACCAGGAGGGAAGCCAGATGTATTACTATCATCAAGGCACATCGAGGCCTCTACTGTCAGGAGAGCTTGGCCCCTGCCTGCAGTCCTATGGCTCTGTGTCGTACATGGGAAGTAGGGCCTGTGCCCCTCAACCAGAGATAGTGATGGTGCTGGAGGAGGTTCAGCCCACAAATGTCCTAACACCAGTCTCCACGTCTGGAACCTACTACTCGGTGTCCGCTCAATCCATCACAGAAACAGGTTTTCAAGGTGAGTCCAAACAGCAAGAAGGGAGAGGAATGCAGTCAGCATTGCAAAGCAGGGCCAAATCTGCAGCTGAGAAGTGGTGAGTCCACAGATAGGCAGAGGGTAAGTCCTGAGAGTTTAACCACCACCATTGCTCAGTGCTCTCCATTTTCAGACTCTATATAGGTGGGAAGGTGGGATACTACAATGCCATCTATGCTACATACAAGAGAACCTCAAGAACACACCATGGGATGCCTCACTTTGTGCTGCCCCGCTCCTCAGTCTCCCTACACCACCACACTGTAATTAACTACCTTCCCTGATCTACTGCTTTAGTCTCTTTGGAAGGCACTTCAGAATTCTTATGTGGTAGTGACAGTTTAATTTTCCTTAATTTACAGCAGGATTTAAGATCTTGTGTTCAGAGATCCTGCCCAAAGCAAGTTTCAAATTGAGTGCCGTTCAAAAAGTACCATTCACATGTTGTGATATTTTCTTTGTAACCCAGGTGATAAAAAAGAGGGAGAGGGGATGGAGAGTAGTGGGCCAGAAGGACACAGATATTCTTAGGGCANAATAAATAAATCAATATAAAAACAAATAAATGGGGCAGGGAGAAGAATACACAACAATCACGATTCCTTGACTTTGTTAAGTGAACGGATATGATGTTGACGGAGGGCACTGGGGAGAGGGAGGAGGCAGAGGAAGAATTGGTGAAGGGACACAAAGGTCAACGACACTGTTTAGTGATAAATAAAATGGTTTTGAAAACTAAAAAATTGTGCCTTCACAAGCACGTCGTACAGTGGGTTGAAAAGGTTAGGAGTAAGTGACATTTGGAGCATGAAACAGCTAAGGTGACACTAACAATATCTACCACAATCTGGCAGGGCCCAGGCACAATGTAGGCATTTGAGGGATTCCAGTCTTTAAGAAAAGCAAAAAGACAGAAAGGATAGAATAAAGAAGGGCCTCAGGGGTGGGTGGTCTGGGTATGTTACACTGAGACAAGTCCAGTTATCCTGATCGATACAAAATGCAGGGAATGGGTCTCTGGAGCAAGATAACACCCTGACTATAAAAACTGAGGCTTGGGCCGGCCCGGTGGCGCACTGGATAGTGCGCCGCTTGGGAAGCGCGGCGGCGCTCCCGTCCGAGGGTTCGGATCCCAC